GAAACCGGAAGGGGGTGGTGGAGGCAGCCATTCATCGGTGCTTTTTTAACCCTTTCCTGCTGCAAAAGATGCTGGGAGGTGGATGCATTTTCCTGAATAATTTGTGCTGAAGCCTTCGAAGCGGGGACGGCACTGCTCCCTCCTTACCCTTTACAGACAGGCTTTGTACTCTGGGTAAAACTGTCGAAAAAGGTAGAACAGCTCCTAATCTAGGAGATGATTCCTGTGGGAAATCAGGCTGCTTTTCAAGCGTAATTTGAAAAGCTGCTGCCTCCAAACTTCAGTGGTGGTGGGGACCAGGGGGCGCCGAGAGAAGAATGCCATTTATAAAGCAATCAACGCTTCGACAGAGTCAGCCATCACTCAGAATTATTTTCTGAAATTTGGCCTCTATTTCTTACTCTGGAGGAAAGGCAGCACGGGCACTTTGCTTCCAATCAAGCCTGACACCGAGGCTGGGGGAAGTCACACAAAGGGAGAGGGACTCCGCGCTGCTCGTCACAGCTGGAGCGGCGGAAAGTCATTTCTAGGGCTCCTCGGCTCTGCAGAACGAGCCCGAGGAAGCCTCATCAGAGGTTCCATTCATCTCACTTCTTCCTTTTTAAACTTTAAAGCACATATTTATGTGCCTCAGGTCGGCCATGAACCACGGCATGTCAAATAGTTTGGGGTTGATGGAAGAGGGACATTTTCTCGTCCTGGGACTTTCGGAAACATAATTTCATCGCTAGTCTCTCACCCTTCCAATTTCTCCCGTACGCTGCCACGAGGCGAATATTCCTAAAACGCTGCTTTCAATATATTACTCACCTGTTTAAGAACCTTCCAAGGTTTTAAGGCTGGGATTCCCAATTGGTGGTCAAGGCCTTTCATAAACATGGCCTCTAACCTCTAACACACACCTTCCCAGACTGCCAGGCCACCACACTTGTCCCAAAACACAAATTATATAAGGAGGGAAACCGGAAGGCGGTGATGGAGGCAGCCATTCATCAGTGCTTTTTAAACCCTTTCCTGCTACAAAAGATGCTGGGAGGTGGATGCAGTGAGAGACATTTTGCCAGTCAATTTTGCCAGTCTTCATCCTGCATCTCTTTTCTTGGTAACCAAATGCAGTGCCACATTTTAGGGGGAACCACTCCACCTCGGCTCTCTCTCCATATGATTTGGGTGAGCTGACCAGACTGCCTGACTCCAGGCCTGCCCATGAGAATGCTCTGGAGCAGCGGTCCCCAACCTTTTTGGCACCAGGGACCAGCGCTCCTATGAGAGTCTAACGCCTGATGATCTGAGGTGGAGCTGAGGCAGCGATACTAGCGCTGGGGAGCGGCTGCAAATACAGATGAAGTTTTATTCCCTTTCTTGTCTGCCGTTCACCTCCTGCTGTGCAGCCCAGCTCCTAACAGGCCACAAACCAGTTTGGGTCTGTGGCCCGGGGGATTGGGGACTACTGCTCTAGATCATCCGTCGGCAAACTAAGGTCCCCTAATACTAAGGTTAAAAAAAAAGCCCCCTGTCCCCGCTTATATTGTAAGGCCCTTGAGGTAAGAATAATTTTTACATTTTTTAAAGGTTGTAAAAAATCAAAGAAAAATATGCCGGAGAGACCCCATGGCCTGCAAAGCCTAAAATATTCACCATCTGGCCCTTTACAGAGAAAGTTTGCCGACACCTGCTCGGAGGCACGGTGCTTGGTTTGGGGTGGGGCAAAGGGTTGGCTGAGCTGAGAAGAGCAAAGCCTAGGACTGAAGCTGGAACTGTCTGAAAGAGGTGCACACTCTCCTAGGTTTGTTAACTGAAAGAATGTAAGCCTGGAACTACGGGTGGCATCTTTGACACTTCGCAGACAGAGGCTGCTAGCGTAGGAAGCCAGTACTGGGGAAAGCAGACTCAAAAGATGGAGACGGCTGTGGGATCTGGAGCCGGCTGGGCCTGTCTGGTTGTGTGGCCAACACATTTCTTTTTGCTCAAGTCATTCCGAATTGGGTCACTTGTCAGTTGCAACTGAGGGAGTTGTGATGAGCACAGATATTGGCAGGTATGACCGGGCGTCTCTGGACATGTTATTATTTTTCCTATCTGGAATGCCCTTCATCTTCTCTGCCTGCCGAAGGCTGCTTATCCTACCATGATCTTACCTCGTCCTCTGCTGTGGTCCCCTTTAGTTCCTGGGTAGTTCTGAGATTTAACCATCTACTTTCTCAGCTATAACTGTCTGAGGGAGTATGTATCGCATCCCTAACAAAGCCATGAGCAGTAGAGTTGGGAGGGAGGAAGAATACACGTTGTCAGAGCCCCAGGCACTCTGCTAAACACTCTATCAACACTGCCACATTTATTCCTCCCAATGAAACCGTCCCAAGAGGCAGAGGCAGCAACTCTATTGTAAAGATGGGAAAACGAAGTAAAGTGAGCTGCCCAAGGTCACACAGTTACTAAGAGGTAGAGACTGAAATTGGCCCCAGCTCTGATGAACTCTAGATCATCCACGTTCTTTCCACAACATGGTGCCTCCCTAGGACCCCGTCCAGCCCTTCATAGGACCCCCTAGATACAGCTCTCCACTCTCCTGAATCCTCCAGGAGTCCTCCACTGTCTTCAGATCAGAGCTCAAACGTCTCAACTCAAAATTCAAAATTCGAAGCCTTTCCATGTCTGCCTAGTAATCCTTCATCTGTCCCTAACTCCAGCCAAACTAATACGTGAAAACTCTGAGTAAAAAGAGAGCCTCTTCTTGCACCAGCGAGTTTTAACAGGCGAATGTCACTTTGTGATGCATACGTTAACAAGGATTAGATTGAGTCAGCTGGACAGATTTAAAATTAAAGTTGCCTGAATATAATAACTGGAAAAGCACTCTAATTAGTTTTTTATTTTTAATCAAGTGCAATAATCTGCCTGTAGGAATCCAAAAGCAGCTCAGGACGTCTTAACTCTTTGAGGAAGAAATGGGTTTCTGGAACACCATGGCAAATCCTCCCACACGGATTATCTCCTGGACAGCATCCCCAGAGCCCAGGTTTTGTCACAAAGAGGTGTGTGCATGTCCCCTGCCTCTCAATATACCAGCACGGCTTGCCACGCCCCAGGCTCCCCGGGAAGGCCAACTATTTTAATCTCATTGGGAGCTCAACAAATCACACCACCTCTGACCTTTTTTCTCATTTGTCAGGATCTAGAGATTGAATTAGCCTATTACCTTGTGTCCCCAGTGGAATCAGGAATAATGTTGTGAATCCTTTCACAATCTCCTCAATTAGAGGGCATTCCCCACTTTTCCCAAAGGAAATCATCCCAGAATTGAAAAAACTGGAATAGAGTGAAGTGATTATCTCTCTTTCAGGGGCTCTTACTTGGGGGTCCCTGCAGGGTCGTATGTGGAGTCTCTGAAACTGTACAGTTTTGTGAGGTCAGCTGAGTGGACTCAGCAGATGAGATGGTAAGTGACTGCAGTCGGGAAATGCAGTGCCCTCCTGGAAGTGACATGGGAGGAGGAGGTCCTCAGACGTCATCAGATTTCTAGAGGAGCCCAGAGTCCCCAAAGATTAAGAGCTCTCCCTCTGGCTCGATTCTTCCACTTTAAAGGTGGGAGGGATGAGACCCAGAGAGGGAGGGTCCTTGTTGACGGCCCAGCAGAGCAGACCAGAAGCCAGGCTGCTGCCACCTGACCCAAGCTGGACATCCCACTGCCCTTGCAGGGAAGACCCTAAAAGGAGATGAGGGGGCCTCTCCGGAACAGGCCGGGGACCCTTGCTCCAATACGTCCCTGTGCCAACCACCTTCTGGGAGTTTTAGAGTTTGGGGATTACTCACATTTCTGGAAGGGTTATCTAGACACTACCTCATCATTGCATCTGGTGAGGAAGCTTTCGTTATTTCCGCGCGCGCACGCGCGTGTGTGTGTGCCTAAATTTACACAATCTGTGCATTTTAAATCCCCCAGCAAGAAAAATCAAGTATTTACTCTGCCTTTTTTACACAAACTCCCCCAAGGTTACCGCATGGTTGATGAAGCGAAGCCTCCCTTATGCAAGGACTCCAGCAAAAAGCAAGCTGGTGTGCTGGGACTAGGGCAGCGTTACTTGGTCATCTCTGAAGAATGAGTGGATCCAAGCAATGATCACCAAGACCAGTGACACCAGAGATCAAACATCTTAACTCAAAGAGATCAGATGTCACACACCGCCTGATGGACGTATGTCAGTAACACTACATACAGAGAAGTGTAGTCAAAAAACAAAACCAAAACCTACCTGATCAATCCCTTTGTTCTGCCTCCCCGTTTACAGGAAAGACAGGTGACAGGAGCCAGCCCAAGGACCCCCAGTGGGCTGTAATCAGTAAATCGACTGTGGGGAAGGCTGTAGGATAAATGACCTTCTTTCCTCACCATAAAACTTTCCGGGAAAAGAGAAGTGGAGGAGGAATCTATAAACGAAGAGATGCATTAAGGGACGTACATATCGATGACAGCAGTGTATGTTACCTTACGTGGGTGCTGAGTCACACACACTAGGGAAATTGAAACACTGACTGAATACGATATTAAAGGGCCATTGTTAATTTTTATAGGTGTGATTTTGTACGTTTAAAAATAAGGTTTGGCTACAACCTCATGGATTTGCTTGAAAATAATCCAGGGGCTGGTGGGGACGGGGGGATGGGGCGGGTAAAGGTGGATGAAATGAGGCCGGCCATGGGCCAGCTACTGGGGCAGTGGGGTTATGGGTACCTGGGGCATTGATGTACTATTATCCATAATAAAAAGTTTAAAAAATTGATCTCTTACTTAAAAGGTATCCAAAAAATTACCAGGAGTGTTTGCTTTTGGGGAAAAAAGCAGATGTCTGGGGAATGGGATGGGAGACTGACTTTTCGCGGTTTGTTTTGCGCTGCTTGGAATTTTATACCATGACTCTGGATTATCCATTCAAGAACGTACACTCATTTTATAAAAAAATCACCCAATTTAAACAACAAACTTCAAAGTGAGCTCTTAATCACACTTTTCATCCAAGAAATGCCTTTATTTCATTTTCTTCCAAAGAACGGGTTAGGTGCAACGAGTTTGTTCCCTCTCATTATTCGAGGCCAGGAGGGTATATGTGTCTGTGATGCCGGGCTGTGTTCTAAGACTCCTGGATGAGCGATACTTCCACATGGTTCCACGTGGTCCTCGGGCACTCAGAGGACACACATGATGCATAGTACAGGCCTCTGTCCCACGTGTCCTTAAGCCCTCAGGTGTGTGTGTGTGTGTATGTGTGTCGTGGCCTGTGAGGCAGCTAGGGCCTTGGAGACAGTAAGCTAAGGAGTTAAGCCCTTAGAGCTGCTAGACAATGTCATCTGAAAACACCAGGTATGAAATATAAATAACAGTCAGCCACTTTCCTTCAATCCAATTTCTAAGCAGTTGCGTGATCGATCAATTTATAAATCGATCGGCTGTCTGATCCGCCTTTGCAGTATACTCTGCTGCAGCTGCCACCGCCTTCGGCCAGGGTGGGATCAGCTCCCCACCTGGAAGCCGGGGAGGAGAGGTCACTGCAGCTCCTGGAGCAGGAGAAGCACGTTGGCTGTGTATGGGCTCTGCTGCCCCGTGGCCCCTCGCAGCTGCACAGGGCGGAGGCTGGGGTGGGGAGGTGTGAATTGCTCAGGGCAGTAAAGTTCGTTCAGGAGGAACCAGGTGGAGTCCGGGTCCACCTTCATCAAGTGGAGGAAAACCCTGTGGAGAGATGGACAGCAGTGAGGCGGGGAACAAGGAGGGGAAGCTGCTGGTGTTCTACCCAGGAGACTACTTGAGGAAAAAACTGATAGTAACACCAAATCACTGCATGGCAGAACCAACCCACTTTAGCTCGTAAGACAGGGCCATTCAGATGGTTCCAAAGCCTGACAGAGATAGAGGCATAGAGTGTCCCTTGACATAGAGAAGAAAAGCAATTAGTCTGAGCAGAACAATATTGTTATCAAACAAGGTCTTGGCTAAGAAACTGGTTAAGTTCTGGGGAATAAAGCAGGCGTTTTCAGAAGGAAGAAAACCACCAGGCCCTTCATAAAAGGCTTCCCTCAGCTCATGGGACCAGCCCCAAGGTAGGGGCTGCATCCTGCTGGGGGAGCCTGGGCAAGCCCTCGACTTTGAGTCTGCAGGCCCTCTTCTCTGGCCCTCCAGCTCACTGCTGAACTCTGTAGCTCGCCCCTTCTGGCCACGGAGAGCCACGGATTCTTGGTGGTCTGGATACACTTGAACAAGGATCAGATCATTATTCTTCTGGGGCAGGACCGGCTGAGCCCTGTCCTGTGACCTTTGGCAGAGGCAAGTCACTGGTGTCCCACACATGATACAGACAGAGCCGAAGGGCCCCGACTACCTGACACTATACATCTGTCACAGGTGAGGCTCTTTACCTTGGCCAAACTGTGGGGTCACAGCCTTTGCCTCTTTTCTGCTCGTATTCTATTTCTGAACAGTCAGTCATGTGCTCAGGGCCACTGCACTGGGCAGTCTAAGTGTAAACTTCATACACCTGGCCGACTCAATGATTCAGTCTGAAGGACTGAAAGATGAGGCCCTCCACTAGCTGGGCAGCTCCCTCTCGGCTAGCCTGCCATTTCAGCTCACACGGCACCTGCTCAGAGAGGTCACTCTCCCTGGACCATTGTGCCTAGGTGGTGGCCCCTTATTCTTTTCCAGGACACCCTCCCCAGAACTTATCAACTACTTGTCTGCTGGCCATCTCCCTTCTTCACAATACAAGATCCTGAGGGCAGGGTCCATGTCTGGCTCACTTGTGCATCCCCAGCACCTAGCAGGGCACATGGTGAACACTCAACCAGTACTCGAACGAACAGGTTCTCATACTGAATAACTGACTTTTCAGATTGCATACTAATGACTGAAGATGATGTCCCTCTCTGAAATATTTACATTCTATAGAAGGATCTAAAGGAAAAGTCCACTGTTCACCACTAAGGAAGGACTAAGGAATGCGTTCATTCCAGAATTCACATCACCACAGACATCACTAGCTGAGTGGCTGTGGATTATTTGTCTCAGTTTCTGTTTGAGGGACCACCTTGTATTCTTTTTTTTTTAATTCCCCCCACCCTGCCACTTCCACCCCTGACCTATGGATGTTGCTGCTTCCCCTTAAGAATGGGATCTCTGAGGGAGGGGCGTCTCCTCCCACATGCCTGGGGCGTTCACCTGGGGCCTGGTGCACCCGGGGCCTGCTGCATGTAAAGCAGGCGTGCTAACCACTACTCTATGGACCTACCTCCCGCCTTTTATTCTTGATGATCATTCCTAGGAACCTCTTCCATATAGCTGGGCATCAAATAAGAACTTAAATGCTTGCTAAATGGAACTAAATTCTGTTTTTTAATTATGTTAATCTGAAAAGCTTATGTACTTTTGCTTTCTTCCTAGGATTTAATAGACATATGCTAAGGAGGTGAGGGAAGGAGGTGGGAGGGGGCACTTTGAAAATTTTTTTGGCCCGTTTTGTGCCTAAACAATCTAGGTTTTCTTTACTTAGGATAATCTTGTGTTTATAACCTCAGCTGTAGTTGCTAGAGAAGTGATTAGAATATTCCAATTCATTTCCACTTCACCGCAGAAAGGAGATGGGGCCTGCGTGGGAGAAAATTTTTGTTTAAAAACAAAAATATCTTTGATAATTAGAGTAGCAAGGGAAATTATGAAAAAATGCACCAAAAACGGGAAGCAGATTTCTATTTACATGTGACACGGTTGACAGTTTTCCCTAGTGCCAAAGACTGTTAGAATGCAAATGGTTTCATTTGATTTTTTTTCCCCCCTTCAAGAACTGGAACAATTTCTCAAGCTACAGCATGGCACACTCTCAGCTTCAAGGAATATTTTGATCTGGGCAACACCCAGCAAAGTGGTGCCACGGCTCAGTTCAGTCGTAGCTCTGCTGACTTACATGGCAAAACGCTGCAATGTTCATTTTCTGAGTCCTTTTTAACATGCTAAATGAGAATGTTGTATTCGTTGGCAAGAGAGAAAACGCCACTCTCTTTGCCCTGTAATATCTCTAAATAAAATGCTAACAGGGATGCAAAGCAAAAACGTGTGCAAAGTTCACCTTCTTTTATTAAGCGAAACTCTTGGAAGAATTATTTTGGGTCTCATTTCTTAGCTCTTAAAGGGGTAGACTCTGCAGAACGGCGGGCAGCCAAACAAGTTCCTTCTCTCACCTCTGGGGCTTGGAGCAAATTATTTTGCCTCCGTGAACCTGTTCCTTCCTCTTCCTCCAAAGGAAGAAGATCACACCCGCTCCACCCTTCTCACAGGTTAGTTCCGAGGCTCTAAGGAGATGAGGTGCAGGAAAACACTTTGAAGTGCATAATGAAAACACTGTTTCTTCTGGAGAAACTGTGTGCGTGTCTAAGGAATAATTATCACTGCCAACCCCAGCCACGGCCATGCCACGGAAAATTCTCAGATGTTCCAAAAGGGCCTAATATTTGTCTTTTGTTTCGCTCATAATTTCCTGCATATTGTCTTGGTGGGGGTCCCAATTCTCAGTCAATCGAGTTGTAATTTTGCCCATTATTTTCAGGAAGAAATGAATGCAATATTCTTTGCCCTCTGCATGCTTGAGGTGGGGAGCAAATACCGTGCCATGCAACCAGGTGTTGGCAGGTGCTCTTGCTTGACAAAAGGCATGGCTCACTGAACTCTAAACACTGACAAATTCTGAACTAGGGGCTCTGTTTGCTTCAAGCCCCTGGGAGCTGAGCCCGAGACCCAGGAAGTCTTGTCTGAGTGCTCAGCTGCCCAGCTTTGCTCCAAACTCTGGTACCACCACTCTGTGCTGGGGCCAGTTCCCACCCATCATGCGGCTTCTGGAGAGTGAAGAGCAGAAAGCTGAAGACCTCAAAAACTCTTTTTGTATAATCGAAAGCCAGAAGAAAAAGACAGGACCTCTGCTTTGAAGTGATTGCAGTAACTGCCTGGAAAATGTTCCTAATACATCTTGAGACACAGCAGAGATGGCTGTTGAACATGCCAAATGGCCAGCTCCATCTTTTTTCAAACCCAAAGAGAAACACTTTTAAAAAAATATATGTACACTATTTAACTTCTGAACAAAAATTTCTCTCTCTTCCCCCCAGGCCTAAATCAGTGGCTCCAGGGAGCTCTGTTATCACAAGATTATCTGGTCCCCAGAGTTGGGGGAGGCACTCAGGTGGTGCCTCCGCCTCCAAGTGTCCTGAGGCGAGTGATTATCTCTCAATAACCTGTAGGGCCGTGTAGCTTAAATGATAACTTGACTTTAAAAAATTTAGAACTCACTGTTAGGCAGTTTCTAAGCAACCTCTGTTTCCATGGCAAAGAAGCCTGGTGTTTATACTGATTTTTCACTTAAAATGCGGTTTTATTGAATTTCACTTCATGCAGGCAGCCATTTCCCTGCACTTCAGCCCTATCTACGATTGACGGGGATCCGTAAGTACCTAATAAACTCCAGACGCCAAACCAACAGAACTGGCTCGTTCCTTTACAATCAATATAGGGGTGCTCTGGGTGACAACGCCATGGGCGGGGTGGCCTTGGGAGGTAGGAAGTATGCTACCAGAATCTGGTCAGCTGGGTTTGGGTCCCAGCTCTTCATGGCTTACCAAACATTTACCAGCACCTGGTCCAGCCCAGGCACTGCGCCAGGCGTGTGGGATACAAAGATGGACAGACAAAAAGACTCTGGCCTCAGGCTCCCTGTCTGGTAGGGAGGACAGATAAATCACAGAGGCCCACTATGCAATGTGGAGAGGGCCATGCTAGAAGTCACGTGTGGGGTGGAATATGCTGAGTTTCTTTTCTGTAAAGTGGGGGGTGCATCAAATGAGTTCTAAGGCCTCTTTCAGTTCCAATGGTCTACAGCAGTCTGCAAGCATGGGTGCTGAATCACACACCCAGAAATGCTAACTGCTATTATTTTAAAAGGACAACCTTGATTGAGTCTAGAAGAAGCGGGGTCACTTGTACTGAGCACTTGCTGTTTGCCAGGAGCTTTAACACCATGACCCATCACCATTAATCTTGAGGGTACATTCACTCCCATTTTACAGAGGACACTGAGGCTCAGTGGTTGAGTGCCTGTCTTTAGTCACACTGCCTGTGTGTGAATTCAACACCAACTCGTAGCCCGTAGCCCGTAGCCCGTAGTCTGTCTGTCTCTGCACCCCACCCTGCTCGGCGGTGACCACACACACGCGGAGCTGCCTGATCCTCCTGCATGTCAGCCCCACTTCCCCTTCCCCACCAGATTCTATTGACGGGGAGCCTTGTGGGAAAATGAAATAAACCTGCCCGCTTTTAGTTTAATTTGAGGAAAAACCAAAAGGCGCTTCAACCCAAAAACTACCACTTTTTTTTTTTTTTTTTTACGCCTACAGCACCTGGTCTTCCTAGTTGGTCTCCCATCCAAGTACTAACCAGGCCCAGACCCTGCTTAGCTTCCGAAATAAACTACTAACTTTGAGTGAGTTCTGCTCTCTGCGTGACTCAGTCTTCTAGAGTGCAACATGCTTAGAATAAGCACAAATTTTGATTTTGAGGGTTAAATTATCTTAAAAAGATAACGTACACAAAATATGCCTGGAACTATCCCTAATACATACTAAGTACCCGAGAGCTGACTCTGAATATGAATCTTAGTCCCTTCATAAGAGGAAGACTAAAATACTACCATTAGC